GGGATTTCTAAGCAATTGGAGTTTTAATGAAATAAATTAGTTTTGATGAAATTAATATATTGTCTTAGAATTGGTTTTGTTCTCATCAAATTCGAACTATTCTTATTGTTTGAGATTGGCAACTAAGAGTTTCTCATAACAATTTGAATAGTGATCATGCAACAGTGCTTAAACTGTTTTATGAATGAAGGTTTTGATAATCTAATCTTAGGAAAGATAAATTATTCTGGAATTTAGTTTAGTAATTCGTGCCTACCAAATTAGGTTATTGCTTAATTAAATTCATGATTTATCGTCTTGAAATTAAACAAAATAGAATGTTAATTCATTTAATTCCTGATCATGCATAAATATTGAAATCTCTAAGATTGAAGCAATTAATCATATTATAAGATTTATGGTGAAGTCAAGCCCTAAGTATTTATTCTCTTGATCTTAATCTTTATTATATTTGCTTATTTTTACTTTCATGTTATTGATACACACCCAAAACAAACAAATATTCTTATAAATTAAATTAGAATTAATTCTATAATTGACAATCCACCACAATCTTTGAGGTTCGACACCCTCAGCATAGCCCTATCTTACAAGGATTCGTTCTATTGCGAGTGGATTTTACTATTAAAGAAAACACACATCAATTTTTGGTATCATTACTAGGGATTCTTGGGTGTCCGGAAGTTCCAAGTCCCAGAGCTCGAGCACATACAAGTCACATTTTGTCCACTAGCAAAAGTTAACACCTTTTAATGAAGTAAATTGATTCTTGGATCAAACAAAGGCAATAGTTTTAAACATCGAAATCTGCAACAAATAAGTGATACAAAATAATTAAAATTTGCCCTAAGCAAGTATGTGTTTTGAATGGAAAAGAAGTAAAATTGATAACTTATTTACCTAGAACCACCAATCTTGGCTTTCTTGGATACCATTCCCTAGTGTATGTGGTATGTCAAGTGATAAGTGCTGAATATTGCATATTCGAGCCCTTAAACGTGCATATGTTAAGGCTTTAAGTGATACTTCCATTCGATTTTTGTATTAATTTTCGATTATTTCTTTTTGTAGGTGATTTCCAAAAGAAGTTGATCAAATCATGATTTTTAATCATCAAGCGATGTTCCCGAAGCTTTTGGGAGTATTTCGGGCTTTCTGGAGAGTTTCGGAGGTTAACAGGGCGATATCCGAGCAAAATGGTGAAACAGGTCTCGAGCCCTATGCTTGTAGGGCTTGAGCGCCTTTATGGAAAATTTGTTAAATCTTTTGAGAATGACGCTTTGGAAAAAATAAGAGTAGGAAAATTGACTAAGTGTCAAGAGCGCTCGAGTGCCATTATTGAAGAAATCCGACTAAGGCTGAACAGTGCTCGAATGTTGTTCAAGAGCGCTCAAGCACTGTTTAAGAGTGCTCAAGTGCTCTTTTTGGGAAATTTTTCCAAGTCCAAATAGGGCTCGAGTGCCCTTGTACCTGGGAGTCTTTATAATGTGAAAATTAACTTTAAAAAGGCCTTTTTTACCCCAGACGGGCCCAAATGATCCCAGAAATCCTAAAGCACATCCAAGAAGGAAGAGGAGTTAGTTTTTTTCTATAAAAAAGAAATAAAGATGAAAGGCCACAAGGAAGCACTCTTGCAATTTTTCAGTTCTAGCGGCGACTTTTAGGGTTTTGAAGCTTTCTTTGAAGATTGAAGAAGAAGATCTCAAAAATAGCAGTTGCAGTCCATGGAGATGCTTTCCACACCAACCAAGATGATATTCTCCGTCGTCATGAGTAGCTAAATCCTCTCTTAGGGCATCGATGTAACCTGAATCTGATTACTATGGTTTGATTATTCTTCAACTTTGAGATTTTTTTCAATATTTATGTATATTGATTATATGGTTATGAGCAATTAACTTAGATCTTCTAAGCAATTGGGTTTTTAATGGAATAAAATTGGTTTTTGATAAAATTAACATCTTGTCTTAGAATTAATTTATCTTGAATCAAATTCCAACTATTCTTATTGTTTGATATTGACGGCTAAGGGTTTTTCATGATAATAAAAATAGTGATCGATCATGCAATGGTACTTAAACCGTTTTTATGAATGAATGTTTTGATAGTTTATGCTTAGGGAAGACAAATTATTCTGCAAATTAATTTAGAGTAGGTAGATAGATAATTCGTGCCAACTAAAGATAATTTATTCTTAGCAAACATTCTTGATATATCTTCTTAAAAATTGAATTGAATAGAATGTTATTTCTTTTAATTCCTGGTTATACATAAATATTGGAATCCTAAGGTTGAATCAGTTTACCATAGTATGAGGTTTGTGGTGAAATCGAGAAAGTTTGTGCCTTTTTTTATAGAAGAATTAAAATCTAATAAGATTTAGACGAGCTTTTAGATCTTTTGAGATAATTTGGGCCCATATAAGATGAAAGACGACTTAATTAAGACAAATCCCGCATATGAAAAGTCTGACTTAACAACAAGGGCTTGAGTTTAGAAGATCCAGCTCGAGCCTTTTTGGTTTGGGCTCAAGTCTCTTGGATAGGGCTTAAGCAAAACTTCAACACTTAGTTATTTTTCTTCAAATAATTTTTGAAACGTCTTTTTCATTAACACTTAGAATATTTTTGGAATGAATCTTCATGGTGCTCGATCACTATATCTTGGTGCTCGAGCCTTGGAGGTTTGGGCTCGAGCCTTTTGGAAAAGGCTCGAGCTTTTTGATAAAGGCTCGAGATCTTGCAACTTTTGGTTTTTCGAAGCGTCTTTTGGTATTCCAAGGCATTTTTTTGCTCGATCACTTTTGTATGGGCTCAAGCACCTTAAGTTTGGGCTCGAGCCTTAAGATCTAGGCTCGAGCCTTTTTGCCCTAGTTGATTTCTTTGCTTCAGTTGGATATTTGCTCGAGCCTAAAGAACATAGGCTCGAGCCTTGGCATTCGAACTTCTCCAAAATCACCATTTTGTCTCCAAACTTGCTTCAAATGACCAACAACGACTCTGTAAGCTTTGATATCAATCTTTTCATCTTAAAGTCCTGATTTTAACCGTTTATTTGGGAAAGTATCTACAAACACGAAATAAACATAAATCAATATAACAATGGATAGAAGTATCACTTTTGGTCTTAACATATGTATATTTAGGGGCTTGAATATACAATATTCAGCGCTTATCAATATACGGGTCACAATCATGCATTGGGTCACATAAACATATATATACTACATCTATTGCAATATTGAAGATAAATAAAAGGCAAAAAACACAAATGGAAACTTACTGACAAAACCCTAACACCACTGAATCGTAAATGCATGACACAAATATATATAAACAAATTTGCAACAGAATATTAAAAAACATGATAAACCAACACATATGATACATAATGAAAAGAATTAGGGTTTGAGATCAGAAACATAGAAAACCCTAACACTTGTATAACGAAGCACATAAGAGTAGAAGAAAACTGAAATAAGAATTTAGGGTTTTAGATCATAAATCAAAAAATCAGGAAACAAAAAAACAATAAAGACAAAATAAACTAATTTAGGGTTTAAGATCATAAATCAGAAAACCCTAACAAATGTTGAAACAAAATCGAACCACACAATCATACAAAACCTGAAAAAACTACACAAATACACAAAACACTAAAGAGAGAATGAACAAATTTATGATTTTAGAACACTTACGAAACGAACGAGTCTTCCCAGTGCCATTGCACAACAACACAATTAATCTTTCAGCGAGTTTACAAGTCTTGTAAGTTATCTTCAATGGATCAACAAACAAATACAGAGTTTCAACCGATCAACAAACAATTACATACAAATGGGTTAGGGTTTCCTAGTTACACTTAGGATTTCAGAGTCAGGGCCATTCATGTACAATTAGGATTTCAGAGTCAGGGCCACTCATGTACAATACTCACTTAAGGTTATAAAATGGTTAAGGGTGTTTTATATAGTAAGAGACTGTTTGGTTTCGGTTTTATTATATCCAGTTTTAGGTTTGTTTGGTTTAGCTTATCCCAATCTTATACAAATTGAGGTTTATTTTATTCTTGTTCTAAACAAACACAAACTTACACAATTTGGAAAAAATGGTCATTTTACATGGCCTGTATTGATACTTATTAATTTATTCAACTAAAATGAGGGTATTATCGTTATTTTAAGTCTACAGGGGCCTATTTGCACCAAATTGACTATATAAGAGGATTTTATACCACACACGGACCACATAGAGACCTTTTTGTACTATAGTAGGGTTGTTGTCGTTGTTTGTTTGTTTGTTTGTTTGTTTGTTTATTTATTTATTTATATTTTATTTTATATATTAACCTAAAAGAAACAAATACTAGTAATATGTAATTTTTTATTCTTATTTTTTATTTGGATAAAGTACAGCCACACTCCAGAGGTTTGACAAAAGGACACTTAGAGGAAATTTATCTGATTTTTGGACAAAGACACCCCCTGAAGGTTAAAAAATGGACAAAGACACCCTTTACATGAGAAATTGACTAAATTACCCTTTAACCGTTTAGGAGACTTTTTTAACTTTACAATTTAATAAATTGAACCAATTTACCCTCATAAATAATTTATGCATAAAAAAAAGTAATAAAAAAAAACTTTATATTGTTCACCTTTTATTTTTTTTTACTTTATAAATGTCCCAACTTCTTAAAAATGTAGACGTCTAAAATTATTTTTTGATCCAATACATATATTTCAAATAAATTATATTTTGTTATTACTTCTTTTCTTTTTCTTTTTTATTTTAAAATTAAGATGTTTAATTCTTTCATCTAAAAGAGTCTTTTGTCCATTTTTGAACCTTCAGGGGGTATTTTTGTTCAAAAAATTAATAAATTTCGTCTAAGTGTCATTTTGTCAAACTCTGGGGTGTGGGGTGTGGCTGTACTTTATCCAAAAAAAAATAAAAAAATAAATAAAAAAAAATAAAAAATAAGAGAATTTTTATTGGATTATACATACATACATTACCTGCAAGTCCACCAAAGGATTCAAACCTAACAGGTCCAAGGATCATCTTCGATTCTTCATCTTCATCTTCCAAAAGGAAAACTCTCAAACGCTTTTCCAAGTTCCCTTCGATCTACTATGGCTTCTAATGGAACTCCTCCGGTGAGTCAGTCCTTAGCTGCCCGTCTTTCTCTCTGTATTTGAATGTGTCTGTGTTCGATATACGTGTGCCTGTGTGTGAGAGAGTAAAACTTTTTGAATTATGTGAGAGTAATAAAATTTGATTGTTTCAGAGAGAGGGGGATACACAGACGAGCTTGGAGAAGATCAAACGACAATTAGCGTCGGGCTCCGGTAGGAATTTATTGCAGGGTCCTCTTCTCAAACGATCTGAAACGGTACCCATTCTCTCTCTCATTATATCCTAAAGCTTATGCCTTCCTCGGTGTTTTCTGTGTATTTTACTGTCAAACATTTGATTTTTTTGTTTTCAAAGTCAAATGTTACCTGATCCAAACGCCCGAAGCTCTGTTCAGATTCAAAGTTCAATTGTTCCTGTGATTTTTAGAAGACACGTACTGAGTGATAGATTGATGCTTTTGGTTTTTCTTAAACAGTGTAATTAGGTGCCCTAATTCAATGGTAAACCCCATTCCCCCTCAAAGTTTTGTAATTGGCTTTGCCTTTGTTGGTTTTATTAATAAATTCTAAATGCTTACCTCTCAAAAAAAAAAAAAAAAAAAAAACACCATTCGTCCTCAAAACTTTGATCATGTCGAGTTTCAGAAAGATTATAAGCAAGTAATTAAATCAAGTTCAGTGTAAATGTAATGCAGGTTGTATGATAAGTTCTTGCTGGATTGATTAGTGTACTGAGGTATTTTTTGTTACCTTGAGGTTGCTATGCAGTACAATATTTTTTTTTACTAATGCAAATTCTTGGTCCTTATTTATATCCTGTATTTGTAATCACCATCACAAAAGAACTTGAAAAGTTTAGTGGCTGAATACTAAACCATAAAACATAAGGTCTTTTCTCATGGCCTGACCGTGCCAACTCTCTTTGATATGTAAAATTAATCTAAACCCCTTCATGAGTTCTAAACATGGGTCATTTCATAGCTACCTTGGGTCCTTGACACACAAAGCAGTTTAAAAACCTACCTGTTCAGTGATGAATCAAAAGAAGCCGTCTTTAATTTCCAAACAGTCAGTGCTTGTTACTAAAAATAAAATGTTCCTTTTGGTTTGGTTTATAAAATGCTACTTGTAGTATTGTATGATATGCTACTAAAAATACGTTCCGGGGCTATTCAAAATAATATTGGACATCGAAGGATCAATGGTAGTGTCAAGACCTGCCTCACACTGTGCAGATATTATTCGCTTTGCACTCTCTTGGTGCTTACGGTTTTATAGGTAGCAGGCATCCCCCTATCCAAGTGTTAACAACTTCTCCCCCGTGTGATGTGGGACATCAAAGTCACCCCCTCTTGGGACAAAGGTCCCTGTTGGCGTGACCCTCATGCGCTTTTGCACACTCTCCCAATATGCTGGCGAGGGGTTGACCCTGATAACCATCTGTCAAGACCCGTCTCACACTGTGCAGATGTTGTTCGTTTTGCACCCTGTTGGCACTAACAGTTCTAAAACGCGTCTACACAAGTAAAAGGCATCTCCCATTATAAGTGCCAACAACTTCTTCCCCCATGCGATGCGGGCCGTCACATAGAGTTTGTGTTCTTCGTGGAAAATGGTGTGGTTTGGAATCCGAGTAAGTCTTCTAGGACTAGGAGTTGAATTCTATGTGTGCTTTATTGGTAATGTTTGGCCTTTCTATGGAGTTCTTTCTAGAGGAGCAAATCTGTGCATTCTTGGAAAGATGGAATTGCATTTGTTGTAGGAGGACCTCTCTTTAGATGACTTGCTTGCTTAGTAGGCCACTATGGATGCTATTCATATAATTTTCAATCTGTAGTGGTGATAATATAGTATGGTTAATAGGTATTGCATGTGCAATGGGAAAAGGAGGTAGCGAGTCATCTTTTTTTGCATTTTTTCATGCCGAGTGAGCTTTGCGATCTTCTCCTTGCATTATGTGGCATTGAGCGGATTGTGCAAAGTCGGTGTTTGATATGCTAGGGAGCTGTCTTTGGCGCAGGGATAACAATGTATCTGGTTCTACTCCCTTGTGTCTTGTGTAGTGCATTTGGTGTGAGTGGAACAAGAGGACTTTTGAAAGGGAAAAGTTGCATCTACATATATTGAAGCAGTATTTTTGTTGTGGTATTTTATTTTATTTTTGGATTCTTGAGTCTGCATTTTTATTCTTTTGTTGAGATTTTACGGGAGATGAAGTTTATTTTTGACTTTTTTGCATACCTTGAGTGTATATGAATAGTGCCCTTGTTTTTGGCGCCTCTAGTATAATTTTGCTTTCCATGGGAAGAGTCTATATCTTGCTAGATAATAGATAGCAGTAAAGTATTCCCAATTTACAATGATGTAAAGTATCTTTTTCTTTTTTTTTTTCTTTTTTTTTTTTTTTAATTAAAAAAAAGGGTCTCAAGGCATCAAAGCTTTTGATTATAAATTTTTAACTGTGTTCTTTTGTTAGCATCTATATATTCATTCATCAAATTAATCAATCAACTCATCTTTGGTCAATGTGTTTATGTGGATAATAACCTTATGGTGACATCATAGTACCTTTAATGTAACTATTAATCTTGCATTGTCAGTCTCTCATCTTGACCTAACGCTCACATTTCATAAAGGTATGCTATCTCTATTATAGTCCATTTATTTTTATATGGTTCCAAAATATAATAATAAAGCAACCGTATTATCAAATACCTAGCTTATATAGTTATATTGCGAGTTCATAATTGGGAATTCCACTTTTTTGGATAATTTTGAATTATTTTTATAAAAATATTATTGTACATAATATCTTACTATTGATTTGCTTATGTAAAACCATGTGTTTGTTGCCATATGTACTAGTATAGCATTGACTCTTGCGATTAAAAGAAAATCAATTAATTTTTTTAAAACCATAAACCCTTTTTTCCATTGAAGCACTTGACACAAAGCAGTCATGCTCCGAAAGGATTCAAGTATCTTAATAGCATCAAAATGTGCATGATACAAAAAAAATTGGAAGGAGAAAAGAAAAATAGAAGAGAATGTTTCAGAACTTTGAAGGCCCTTGAGGGAACCCCTTTTCATAGTGGCCTACTTAAGGAAGGAAATAGTGCCCCGTGGTCCGGGATAGGACCTTGGTGCATCATCCTCTCTGTGATGTTGGATGAGCTTTGTGTGGGCCCCAAGGCCACCAAAGCTCTGGGGGTTTAGCCCCGAGGAAATTCTTTGACTCGTTCTTGCCCATGGGTCGTGAACCCTAATAAGTACTTTTTTGTTGCCCGATATATAAGGGCACTTAGGGTTTGGAATGTGATGATCGAGAGACACTGAAAATCGTACAGAGAGAGAGTGAGGGGCTCAAAGTTGTAATCTCCAATTTTACACATAGTGAAAACTTTCGCGGATCTCCACAGTGAACGTAGGCTTTGCTAAACTACGTATAAATCTTTGTGTTCTTCGTGTGGTGTGTTTGTGTTTCTGTCGTGTTTCGTAATTGTTGCTTGGTTCGTTGCGTTTGTCATAACACTCTCAACGGGACCCGAGGAAGTATTGGCTTGGCGGCTGAAATCTGAAGAACGTCAAAGGGACGCCACCTCAGCTAAAGGGAGCATGGTGTCGCTCTTTGGCATTTCATCGAGGAAGGAAGAGAAGTGATCCCCCTAGAGTGAAGCAAGCCCTGGAACCTTCACATTTAATGCTACCTACCTTGTCATAATGAGATTAAATGCTTTGTTACGACAAACACATCGAACTCAAGATAGAATCAAGAATCACGATAGAAAAGTAAACACACCACACAAAGAACACAAAGATTTATACGTGGTTCGATAACCTACGTCTATGGTTGAGATCCGGCGAAAGTCTTCACTATGTGTAAAATCGGGGATTACAAGTTGTTAGCCCCTCACTCTGTTTCTGTACAAATTCCAGAGTCTCTCCCTTGCACCATTCCAAACCGAAAGCGCCCCTTATATATCGGGCTACAAGAGACTAATTAAGGTCCACGAATCATGAGCAAAAACAGGTAATTTTTTTTTTCCTTAGGGGCAAGCCCTCGAACCCCCAGAGCTTTGATGGTCTTGGCCTAGACAAAGCTCATCCACTGGGTCACAACGCGATCTTGGCACCAAATTCTGTCCACAACATCACATGCTTTGTCCCCCATTTTATCCTAAAAGAACAGACATTCAACCTCGAGCCGCCAAATAGTCACATCTCATTTTAACTATGGACCAATGGACAATCCTCTACACCCACTGTCTTTACCCTGGGATGGCCTTATATAAATAGCTGAGTTAATAACCCGAGAGAGCATTCAATATTGAGTGCCCCTATCTTCACTCTGAGGGAGTTTGCAGGAGTTGTCCTTATTATCTTCCTTGAACCCTCGATGGAGTCCCTCGCGTGACTTCTCGGACTTCGACCTAGGCCTCTACTCACTTGTGGCTCTATTATAATTAAAGTGATTCCTCATTCTCTAAAACCACACGCCAACAGCTAGATGTCAATCGGAAACAATGTGTCAAATCAAATATGAGATTGCGAAGAAGGAAGGAGCATGGAAAAGGGTACTAGGTTAAGGACAGCGTTGTTAAAGGCACGCCTAGGCTCCAGGCTCATATAGGCTTAACACTTGTGTCTGTTGTGTGCCCAGGTGCGCCTTTGACCATATTTGTGCTTGTAAAATGGAATATGAATATGCTTTAATAGTAATTTAATTTTTCAATAGTGTGCCTCGCTTCATTCAGGTGCGCGCCTCGCCTTGCGTATAGGCTCCAAAGGACCTCTAGCGCCTTAGTGTGCCTTGGGCCTTTGATAACACTAGTCAAGGATATTATGGTGTGACAATGAGGGTGTTAAGATATGAATTAATTAATAATTTGTTGAATAATGAACAAAAGTATAGATGCTAATGAAAGAAGAAATTTCTACACATTTAGAGGTGACAAAAAGCTTTGTTATATAATGAACTGTAAGAATGTGAAGCATTTATTTGTTCATTTATAAAATTGTCTAACTTGGGTCTGTATTGGAAACCTTTTGGAAGATTGCCAGTATATCTCTTTGTTCTGACAAGTGGCTTCTGCAATTTATTTCCTTTCAAATAGCTGAGGAAATGGAACGAGAGGTGGGTGATCTTGGACCCAACAACTGGAAAAATGGAATACAAGTAAGATGTTTTGCATCAAACTTTTTCTTGTTATTTTTCTACTAAGAAACACTTGCCTTTGTTCAAGTTTACTTTTGTTTAATTCTTTAGGGTTAGGAGGAATGAACCAACTGTCAAAGGAACCATTATATTTGATGCAAATAGCACAATAACAATATCTCCTGTTAACTTCCAGTAAGATTTGTCTTTAAAAGTTCTTTTTTGTAATCAGAACAGCTGTATTTTCTGCTTAGGGTTTAGATGATTACTAATGATTTTCTTATTCTTGTTTCTTCAGTGGACTACCAAAGTATGATGGATGCTGTTTTTGTATCCACATTTCTTTATTTATTTGCTTCTTTTTTTTCTTTTTTCTTTTTCTTTTTTCCTGTGAGGAGGGATTGATGAAGCATAAAAATTCTGAATTGCATCTCTTCACTTTGAATGTGAACTTTGTTGTTGGGTTTGAGGATGCTAGGACTTGCATGATTCTTAACCGTACTGCTTAGATGTTGGGACACCACAGAAGAAAGATTATTTCCTTTGTGCAGAAACTCCTGGTGCAGCTAGAGCTTGGGTGTCTACTTTACAGTAAGTTATTCCAGGCTTTTCTGTATGAATTGTTTTAGGAATAATTCTCTACTTCATTTCCATGTGATATGGGTTTGGTGTGTTTCATATTTGTTTTACACACATCTTTTAAGATGAATTGAGATGTGTTTTGCATTCTGGATTCAAAATGTGGTTCATCTTGTTAGCTTATCATGGAAACTGCACATGGATAAAGCATTATGGAATTCGTAACGAGGTTTATAGATATGGAATATATGCCACTTGCCAGATCTTTTTAATAAACATATCTTCATTTAGACTGAAATTCTATTTAAATCATTAGTGAAGTAATCTTTATCCATCTTATTATTCCTTTTTATGTTGCGAGAGACTTCGTGTCCAAGGAGTTTTTTGGTAACCCCAAAACCAGGTTTCTTAGCCATACCTTGGGCTTTGATTATTTGGGCTTGTGCATGGTAAAATCCCACGAGTTAGAAAATAAGCACCAACTTGAGGTTAAGCATCACCTTGAGTGGTATTTCCATTATCCCCAACCTATTAAAGAGAAGATTGAGGGTTCAAGTTCCCAATGGGACAAAGTCGGCATGGGGATTTGGCTTACCTGTTACAAAAAGAAAAATTGGGATAAAAATGAAAAGAAAAAAAATCTACTACAATAAAATAGATTGATTCTCTCTAATCCTACCAAAAAAAAGAAAAGAAAAGAAAAAGAAAACAGTTTTCTCTAATCTTCTTTAAACTGTGTCTTTTAGATAGTCATCATTTCATGTGACTTGGGATGTGTAGTTCCGTAGACGGTTTCATGATTGGGAACTTTTGGAGGTTACAGACTTCCCAGCCTTCATTTATACAGAGGTGGTGGTTGGGGTGGGCATGGACGAGATGCTGTGGGTGGGTACCCCGAGAGGGGTGTTCGAGGTTAAGTCCTTCTATAATTGTACGTTGGAGTGTCCTGGCCCTATGTTTCCTTGGAAAGCCATTTGGAGGACGAAAGCTCCACTGAAGGTAGTATTCTTCTCGTGGATTGTTGCTTTGGGAAGCATCCTTACTATTGATAACCTTAGAAAAAGTGGTCATAATGTGGTTAGCAGGTGTTATATGTGCAAGAAAATGGGGCAATCTGTCAACCATCTCCTTATTCATTGCTCAGTGTCTAGGGATGTTTGGGCTATGTTTTTGGTTGTGTTTGGTCTTCCATGTATTCTCAGAATCCACGGTTGACTTGTTAGAGACTTAGGAAGGGTGTACAGTGGAGAGCCGAGTCAGAGATGGCCACTGCCCTTTGTATTTGGTGGGGTCTATGGCGCGAAAGAAATAGGAGATACTTTGAAAGGGAGGAGTCCCCCATTTGGGCTATTAAATACAATATTCTTACTTCTTTATTCTTTTGGGTAAACAGGCGGGATTGTAATTCAATGGATTGTCTTTTGGATTTTCTTAAAGCTATAGTGTCGATTTTGGTCACTATCATCTTCTTTGGGAGCGCTCCCCTTTTGAGCGCCTTTTATAAAAATCTTACTTATCAAAAATATATATATATATATATATATATATATCTATGTATATCTTTTTGGAAATTTATTTATTTATTTTTTGAGTTAGTTTTGTAACTCTCTTTGTTTTTACTATAGTTTGGACATTCTCATCTCTTCTCATCCATGGACGTAGGCCGGTTTTGGCTGAGCCATGTATATCTTGTGTTTGTGTGTGATTGCTTTGTTGCCTTTCATTGGATCTTAGTTATTCGCATGCTTTCACTGCCCCAACATCATCTATGATCTACTACCAAGTTTTCTTTAGATAATGACTCTTTTCCTTTTATTTTCCAAGAAGTTCTTTAATAATCTTTTAAAACGTTCCAACATCCTTTTCCATGAATTTTAATCCCATTTCCTTTTTAGCATTTTATTTTAAACTTTCCTTTTATAATTCTCCCCCCCCTCTCTCTCTCTCTCTCTCTCTCTCTCTGTTCTTGATATATACATCTGAAGGAACTTTCAACCCATGTTAGGATTTTAAGCTTTTTTCGAATGACCTTGAAATTGCATATCGTTTGATCTATTCTTGTAGTTGGGAAAAAAAAAAATCAATCTGACTCCAAAGTTAACGTTCTTAAATACCTCTCTCTCTCTCTCTCTCTCTCTCTCTCTCTCTCTATTTTAAAAATAAAAAAATAGGTGAATGTTATCATTTGATTATATGCCACTACTGATTATATGCCACTACGAATTACTGGACATTGAGAATAATGAGCTAATCTTAGTATGATCGATAAAATGAATAGGAATGAAGTAGAGAGCACATTGTGAAAAATGGGAAACAATAAAGCTGTAGGACCGAATAAAATCAATAGGAATAAGGTAGAGAACACATTGCGAAAAATAAGAAACAATAAGGAAAGTTATAGGTCTAGATAAAATCCCTATAGAAGTGTGGAAAACCTTGGGAAGAGTAGGAGTTGAATGGCTAACAAATTTATTTAATAAAATTTTAAAGGAAGGTACAATGCCCAATGAATGGAGGAAAAGTACTATGATACCAATCTACAAAAATAAGGGAGATATACAAAATTGTAACAACTATAGGTGGATTAAATTAATGAGTCACACTACGAAATCATGGGAAAGGATAATAGAACAAAGACCAAGGAAAGAATGTACCGTGTCTGAAAATCAATTTGGATTTACGCCCGGAAGATCCACTATAGAGGCCATTTACCTATTAAGGCAACTAGTGGAGGAATGTAGAAGTTAGCAAAAAATCTACAAATGGTTTTTATGGACTTGGAGAAGGCATACGATTGAGTTCTGAGAGACATGATAGAGTTGTCAGGGGTTTATTTGTTATTACTTATTGTTGGGGCTTATGTGTAATTTCTGAAACTTGTTATTATAAATAGAATGTGGTGGAAGGATGAAAGTATTCTTTCATTCTTTCTCTCTTTCCCCATCTCTCTCTCTTTTTCTCTCATCCGCTTTCTTCTCTTTTTCTTCTTCTTTGTCACTTACTCTTGATTTGATTATATCTTAAAGTCAACAGATAGAGTTTATAAGCACAAAAGGATTAGGATTGTAAGCATTTAAATCCTATTTAGAAACTTGTTCGTGAAGTTCAGTCAATCGAAATTACTCGAGTGACCTTCAATTGATCCATCCAGCGAAGTTGCCTTTCTTTAGGATTTTGCAAATAGCAATTTCTACAACACTTTTACCTAGAAGTAATTTTTAAAAATCAAAACACTTAATTTAAAAACCCTAATATTTTTAATACATGAATGCATATGAATCATGAACCATAATTTTGATAAGTGTATAATTACCTTTTTGCCCTTGATTGATGCTTTGAATATCACTTTTGATTTGGACAGAGAGAACTCAATTATAACTTTTGAAAACTAATTAAAAGCTAAATTAAAAATATAAACTCCGAGTTTTGAATGAAATTAGTCAACTAAGTTCTATTAACCTAACAGAACAATCGCCCAAAGTTCTGATACTTAAAAGTATGTGATGTCCCAATTAGACGTAAAGCATTAATATTTACTCATTATGTGTAAAGCAAACTGTAGGTTCTCAATATGTTTTAGTCCACATGGCAATGCCACGTCATCAATAATGGCCCACGTAGCAAAAGGTCAAACGGTCATAGGGCGAGTTACGTGGTATATACCAAGTCACCAATAAACCTTAGATAGAAGATTGAAGACTTAAAGACTTGAGTTGAGAGCAAAACTCGGGAATACCTGGGATCCGAGGAGGTACTTGGTTTGGTGGCTGAAGTCCAAGGCCCGCCGAGAAGGCAAATCACCCTCTCATAATGGTTCAGTTGACCTTCGATCTGATTAGCAAAGAGAGATACCATTTTGACTCCCATACAACTTATACCCATCTTAGCTAGTCTTGCTTTTTAATTATTTGAGCAATTTTCTTCTTTTAATTATTATGATAAACTTACATGTCTTGTTGTAGCATGACATCACTTGGCCTATAAAAGGAGATACTCCAAGGCCAAGGAAGAGGGAAGGAAATCAGAAGGAAGAAATTGGAAATGAGCCACCCACATTTTGAGCTCTCTCACTCTTTCACGACCATACGGCCATACCTTCTTCACTCCCTCTAAACCTTCACCAAGGGAGTCAATTGCACACTGTTATCTTCTCTCTCTCTCTCTCTCTCTCTCTCTCTCTCAAGTTTGTCTGGGCTTCCACCTCTCTTAGTCCACTTCAGATTTTACTATGTTGCGAGCAATGCCTCATTATTGTATTTTATAGTGTTTATTTCAACAACCCTACACAGACTTTGATAATTTTTTTACTTAGTTTCAATTTTAATTAATAATTCATTAATCATTCTCATGTGAATAAGAATGCAATCAATTAAACCATCCAGACCATAAATCTGTAAAGCAATGTAAATTAAATGAAAGACAATAATTTACGTGGAAAACCTTAAGAGATCGTGGTGAATCGGTGTTTTATGTGCAAAAACGACAAGGAAACGGTTGATCATCCTCTTTTACACTGTTCTGTGGCCCGAGATTGTTGGCTTTTGTTTTTTGGTTTGTTTGGGATTCTTGGGTTATGCCACGGTCTACCAGAGGCTTAATTGAGGCTTGAAGAGGGTGTATAGTGGGGGCCAAGCTCGTGACCCTTGGAGGGTTGTTCCTTTATGCGTTTGGTGGTGTTTATGGCTTGAACGAAATAGGAGATCCTTTTAGGGAAAGGAAAATCATGTTGGGTCGTTGAAATTCTCCATTCTTAGCACCTTTTTTTGTTGGGTTCTAGGAAGAAATTGTAAATCCTTGGATGAACTTGTAGAGTTTTTGGATTTGTTGAGGATTTAGAGGCCCCATTTGGCCTTGTGTTGTTTTTGAGGGACGCGTTCCCCTTTTGAATGTTTTTTAATGAATTATTACTTATCAAAAAATTTACGTGGAAAACCCTAAAGGGGCTATTTCATGGGCCGCAACTAGACACAAACAATCCATTATAATCGAAGAGAGTATTACCTATGCAGAATTACCTCTAATCCAGACTTGCGCTAGGCCCACCACTTGAGTGTGGTTGTTGTCAATGAATTTGTTCACAATACAACAATCCGCTTTACTTCTTATAGTGATTGTATGTCGTCTTGCAAACCATTCCTATTTCATTTGATGGATAGATGCCGTGGTTGATGAATCCTCAAGTCTTCAATGAATCTCCTTTCTTTAAGCACGCAATGACATAATATGATAGGGTATTCTATGAAAAACCTCATTATGAAAAATAAAGCTCTCAATCTTCTCACGTGTAGTTGTCTCTCTTATTCTTATAATTTTATTTATTTATATTTATTTATTTTATTTATTTTTGATGTTTAGAAATCCCCAAAGCATCTTCTCCCCACCCCACCCCATAGAGATGTAGTGATTAGTTTGTTTATGAATGTTTTGTGTGAGTTTTGGAAGGCCTAAAAACTAATTCAGACACATGTTTTACTGGCTCTATACGTCCACTGATCAATTGAAACAACTCCAGCAATAACCAATTGATGTTCGACTAATCGAGGCTCCATCGCAGCTCTCTACAGTGAGTTTGATTGATCAATGTAGAGGTTCAGTAGATTCGAAATTAGACATGGAATATGTTGTTGGAAGGCTTATAGAGTTTAATCTATAGAGCTCATCACGAGATTGTATGTGATGACCTCTGTGGGCGGGTGTGATGTGGGCGAGCACTGGTAGGCTACACGGTGTCATGATCTTACATCGCCTGGGAAAGGTGAAGTGCTATATGTCGGTTCTACACCCTTCTAAGACACAAAGCGTTTGAAAGCCGTGATGGTCGTGAACCCATCAGAATTCCAAAGTTAAGCGTGCTTAATTTGGAGTAGTACCAGAATAGGTGATCCCTTGGGAAGTCTCTGGTTTGGGGGAGCCAAAAGTAGACAATATTGTGTCTGGATAGGGTGAGGGTTGTTACAAAGGGTATCAGAGCCAGAACCATCTGAAAGTGTGGCCAACGAGGACGTTGGGTCCCATTGGGTGGGTGAAGGGGGGGGGGGGGTGATTGTGACGACCTTTGTGGGCATGTGCGATGTGGGCGAGCACTGGCACACTGCTGGGTGTCATGATCCCACATCACCTGGGAAATGTGAAGTGCTATATGTAGGTTCTACACCCTTCTAAGACATAACGCGTTTTAAAGCCGTGATGGCCGTGAACCCATCAGAACTTCAAAGTTAAGCGTGCTTAACTTGGAGTAGTACCAGTATGGGTGAGCCCCGGAAAGTCTTTGTTCCGGGGGAGACAAAAGAGGACAATATTGTGTCTGGATAGGGTGAGGGTTGTGATATTGTAACTATTTTTTTAATGACTTTCTAAGGCATTTTGGTCAGTTTTTAAACTCGAAATCCTTACCAAAATCAACTCCTTGTTTGCTCTTCTTCTTCTTCTTCTTCTTTTTTTTTTGTTTTTTGTGTCATTAAAAAAAAAAAGCACTTGAAAGCTAAGCTTTCCAGACCAAAAATAATGTTTCCAAATCCATTCCCAATTGATTAGTGTTCAATTTTAAACTTCTTAATTATAAAATTTATTCTAAATTATACTTAACTAGTTCAAGCTTCCTAATTGATACTAATCAGCTTTAACCAAATTTTCAAGGTCGATATTAAGAAATTTTTAGATCAACTTAATTATTAATTAATCACTCACATCCTATGTTCTATAAATTGTGTGACTGATGGTGCTTGAAGCGAGACGTGATGCAGAATGAATATTGTTTGTTGAAACTTTGATTTAGAACCAGAAAGAAAGAAGGAGATGAGAATGAGAAGATGAGATAAGACTAGAAGAAAGGGGTGAGGAGACGGACAAATGGGGTGAGAAATTAGAGTGAATAGACAGATAAATGGGATGATAAATTAGAGTGAATAGGTAGGTTGGACAGACGGAGGGATTGAGAAAAGCAAGAACACTGAGGGAGAAGAAGACACGAGAGTTCTCAAACTCATAATATTATTCAATAATCAAAAGCTAAATTGTTTGTTTATACAGGAGCCTTTATATAGGCAAATTATTAGGCAAACCCTAAAACATAAAAATACCAAAATAATAACCTTAAAATTCAAACATTACCAAAAATAACTATAAGCATAAATACAAACCCTAATTTACTAAAATCTCTAATTTTATTTTTCTTTCCATCTTCTCCAAAAGTAACGCTGAAGCAAATGCAACTCATGTTTGCGAATCATATCTTGTTCCCCGTCAATTCTCCCTGGCTGGCTGAGAAGAACTCTCCTCTGGAGGGTAAAGCAGATAGTACAGATCTAAAAAGTCCAAGTCAGCATAACAAAACTCATTTGTCCTCCATTTGTTCCATTTACAATTTCTCTGATGATCAAGAATATCTTCAATCCAATCAAAGACCATGGCTGACATGATGGAAGAACAAGCTCTGGTGTTGAAGAAAATACAACTCCACCTGTAGGAACATACGGTAACAACACAGGAAGCTCAGAGTACCTTAGTTAGACGTCAAATACTCCACGGGAAAAATTGGACTAATACTATTATCTGATGGCAAGGCAAATCAATATGCATCAAGTAAAGAAAAATTAATTTTAGAAAAGAGAAAAAAAAAATGCATTAGGTCCAGATATATGGATATTGACAAGTCCAATATCTTGGGCATGTAATAGGAAAAAGTTGTGGGTGTACTTGATTTAGAACATAATCTCCTCCAATAAATTCCCGATTCCTAAGATGAGCATACACAATAAAATCATAATTTTAATTACTCAAAACAATTTGTTGTCGCATATTGGCATGAAACTCATGGACACGCTGGACAAAGGAATCTGAAATTTTAAATGAACAAGAATGTGGAGGCAACGCAATAAAGTTGGTGAGTTTGTGAGGGAAACACCCAGATAGAATCTCCTAGAAACACCTTTTAGGTGAATAATTAACCAAGCTATTATATAGAAACTCCACGGCAGATAACAAAAGCCCCAAGTGTTCAGGGGCACTCTTATAAGAGAACCTACCAACTTTTCTAGACCTTGGTTAACAACTTCTAAGTTTTTTGTCAGTTTGAGGAGAAAATGCAAAGGAAAATTTCAAATTAGTGCCCAAAGATGTCCAAAGTGTTTTGCAAAAATAGCTTGCATACTTGACATCCCTATCTGATATTTTCTGTTAAAGATCCGTTCACTTTTTGTTCACTCCCTAGGATGTCTGGGATAGGGTGGGACATTAGGATCGGTGGTGGAGATTACACACGTTTTCAGATGGAACACATGCAATTTCCTAAGTAATTTCTTTCTCTTTTCTTGCAAACGCATGTTTGTCATCACAGGGCTCAAGAAAAGTCCTTTGTGGTGCTCTAGATTCCCTTTCTGATGGCCTTGCTGGTTTTGCAGGGTTTAGCATGACGGTTCTACCGTTGCACTTGAAGACAATTATTGTCTCTAGTATAATGGATCGCACCGGCATTATTAATCCAAGGGCAACCAAGTATTACATGGGCTACCTCCATAGGTAGGATGTCACACCATATTTTATCAAAATAGTCACCCATTTGAATAGGAACTAGACACCTCTCTATGACTATTAAGGAAGTCCCATTTACCTAGGCTATCTTATATCGTTGCGGGTGAGGCTCGGGTTGAAGTTTCATTTTAAGAACACTACATTTATTGAATTTCCTTTTGTCAATGATGATCTGACAAACTTTTTCCCTACATTTGAGAAATGTGCAAAATATGTTGGTATACTTCCAATCTATTCTCCGTAGGAGAAGAGATGGAATGCACCCCTAGATGATCTTCAACTAGAGAAAATGTCATTATGGTGCCCGTGGACTTGACATGATAATGGTGATGATTGTTCTTAGCACCATGTCTGAGTTTTGGGGAAAACAGATGTGTCACCCCTAGTGTACATATGTGCAAACATCTCACGGGGTTGGGTGAGTGAATCATATGTATCGCCCATGACATGAGCAGAACTGATATTTTTTTTTTGAAATTTTGATTTAGAACCGGAAAGAAAGAAGGGGATGAGAATGAGAAGATGAGACGAGACTAGAAGAAAGGGGTGAGGAGACAAATGAAGGGGGTTAGAAATTAGAGTGAATAGGTAGGTTGGACAGACAAAGGGATTGAGAAAAGCAAGAACACTGAGGGAGAAGAAGACAGGAGAGTTCTCAAACTCACAATATTATTCCATAACCAAAAGCTAAATTGTCTGTTTACACAGGAGTGTTTATATAGGCAAATTATTAAGCAAACCCTAAAACATAAAAATACCATAATACCCTTAAAATTCAGACATCACCAAAACAAACAGTGAGCAAATAAAAACCCTAATTTACTAAAATCCTTAATTTTAATTCTCTTTCCCTTTTCTCCAAAAATAATGCCAAAGCATGTGCAACGAATGTGTGTGAATCATATCTTGTTCCTCATCAAGATGTCAATTCAATCTTTCGGTTCAGCATTCATTCTACAATCCCAGCTTCAACGTTGATGTGAAACTTATGACGAAGAGATACGACACTATGGGCCAAGAGACAGCCTTTTTTTTTTCACAAAATTTGTAATCACATGACACATTTTCATACAAACTCATATGAAATATCTTTGCTAATTGAGAAACTGTCGTACCTCTTATCAGGTGGTTAAATGTTTTTTAAGATTTTTGATGTTAATGATTATCTTGTTGGATTTTATTTTTTTGCTTGGTAAATATATTCACCTCGAAAAACTGAATCAGTTGTAAAATATCTCTTTCATTGTGTTGATGTTGCAGTTGTTATTTTTACTTATACTTCTTTTTTATTTTTATTTTTTCTTTCTAAAATCAGTGCAACACAGTTGGTTCTAAGGGCTCATAAAGAAGCTGTGAATTCCTTAAGTGGAAATGGTTCCACAAAACTGGGGACGGTTGCCACCGTAGTGGCTGCTGCCAATTCAACAGCCCTGGAATGCTCTAAAGAAATTGAAGCAGCAATGCAGATTGCCATGAGAAATGCTCTAGGAGCGATGATGAATAGGACACCTGATGGTCCAATGGATGATCTGACAGTCATGAAGGTAGACAAATTGCTAATTCTTCGTCAATTCTTTTTTTTTTTTTTAATCATTTTTGCAGCAATAGTAGTAGTAGACCAAGGGCGCATTCCGGGTAGAATATGGATAATGGTTTTACTTATTGAACGGTTTTAACACTAATATAATGGTTGTTAAACATTCGATCCGGATCGTAGGATCTTACGATTCTACGATCCCAAATTGCTAAGTCGATCCAGATCATATGAAAAATCGTTGGGATGTAGGATCACAGTAGGATTGGTAGAATCAGAAGTAGGATCATAGAATCGCATAGGATTGCACGATCTTACTGATCCTGCTAAATCGTGTTGTTTTGTTCTTTTTCTGATTTTCTTTGGGCCTATAGCCCATTTTGGCAAAGAATTTTATTGCTTTTAAATATAAAGCCCAACTCTTTAGCCTAATAGCATTTAAAAAATAAAAAATTACTTGAATAAGAAACAAAAAACAGAGACCCAGCATCAATGGTAGCGATGATCCAGCTCTGAACTTCAAAGTTATGGCTCAAAACTTCAAAAATTTCCTCTAGTTTGCTTCATTCTTCTCAATTTCTCTTTTATTTCTTTGTTTTTCACAACAAGAAACGGAAAGAATTCTGTTTTCCCGCCTATTCTTTGCCCATTCTGAAACAAAAACAAAAAGACTTTGTTTTTTTCTCATTGTTCTTTGCATCTCTTTTTTGTTCTTTTTCTGAAGAAAAAATAATCTTTTCAACTAAATTGAATATAACAATGGATATTAATGTTAATATTGAATATAAAAATTCAAAATCAAAACACAAAATGTGTATAAAGATAGTATGTATGAAAGAATTCTATTCCATGAATAATTATGTTACCTCTATGGAATTCAATATCAATTCAATTTTCACTCGACTACTCTTACTTGAGCTTAGTTTTAAATTTTGAACGTATTTGGGTTGGTTGAGTTGAGAAGCACTAAAGAGGCAATAGGGGAGAGTCCAGAGAAGTGTTAAGACTTAAGAAGGGGAATGTGATGAACATTCGGATTATTTCAGGATAATTGTCATTAAGAAAATATTTTAAAACCTAAAATCACTTACTATCTTCTGCGATAAGCGGTAAGAGAGGTTTATGTTACTTAAAATTTTGGCCTATTTTATGGGTTTACTATGCGGTTTCTAATGGAAAGTTGGGCGGTTGTGAGAAACGAGGTGATGGGCACATTTCAGGAGTTTCATTCTAATGGCGTTTTTGAGAAGTCGCTTAATGCCTCATTCATTGCCCTTATCCCTAAGAAGGGAGGCGCTTCAGACATTAAAGACTTTAGACCAATTAGCCTAGTGGGTTGTATTTACAAACTCCTGGCTAAGGTTGTTGCCCTTGAGTAGACTTATGCGAAGGGCAGAGAATCTTGGTTTTATTAAAGGCTTTAGTGTGGGAAGAGATCTAGTACATTAGGTGGAGATTTCTCATCTTCTCTTTGCGGATAACACCCTGGTTTTCTGTGATGCTGATGTGTTGCAACTTAGATATTTGAGGTGTATCCTAGCATGTTTTCAGATGGTTTCTGGGTTGAAGGTCAACGTGGCTAAGAGTGTGCTTGTCCCGATAGGGGATGCTCAGGACATTTCCTCTTTAGCTGCAGTCCTTGGGTGTAGGGTTCATAGTTGTTAAAGGCGCCGAAGGCGCGCGCCTGAGGCGCCAGGCGCCACGCGCCACCTTGGTGCCTTGAAAGGCTTAGGGCGAGGGCCTTGTAATAGGCGCGCGCTTTTGGGGCTTAGGCGCAGGGCTACAGGCGCGCTACTGGCGCGCCTGTTTGAAAAAGTTTTTTTTTTTGATTTTTTTTTGATTATTTTGGTTGTAAGTCTTTGTGACTTGTGTGAGAGACAGTGAGTGACAGACCCACGTGATATATTCAGATATGTTACAGTGTTTACTTTAAGCTTTTATCACTTGTCAAAAAAAAAAAAAAAAAAAGAGCAAAAAGCAAAAAGCAAAAAGCAAAAGGGAAGAAGAGACAGAGAAGTACAAGCCGGAAGCTCGTCGGATCTGCCGTTTGTGAAGCGTCGGTAAGTTCTCCACTTCTCCTTGCTTCTTCCTCTTCTCTTTTTTTTTTTTTTTACTTCTTCTTTTCTTCAGTTCTCTTCTCTCGGCTCTCCTCGACTCTAGAGTCTTGCTTTTTTTTTTTTTTTTTTTTTTTCTTTTTTCTTTGAGCCGAGTCTCGGCTCTTCTTTATTTATTTATTTTTAATTTTTTTTTTTCTTCTCGGCTCTTTTTTTTTTATTTTTCTTTTTCTTTTTATTTTTTATTTTTTTCTTTTCTTCTCTCGGCTCTCAGCCTCTCTCTCTTTTCTTTTTTTTTTTTGTATTCTTCTTCTTCTCTGCTCTTTTTTTTTTTTTTTTCTTTTTCCCTCTATTCTTCTTCTCTTGGCTCTCAGCCTCTCTCTAATTTTTTTTCTTTTTTTTTTTTTAAAATATTTTTTTTTCCTATTCTTCTTCTTCTCGGCTCTCTCTAACCTTTTTTAAAATTTTTTTTTTTCTTTCTATTCTTCTTCTCGGCTCTCTCTGCTTCTGCTCTTCAGCCTCTTCTTTTATTTTTGTTTTTTATTTTTTTATAATCTGAGTTGTTGGAATAATTGTAGTTTACAACTTTAGAATTCTGTGCTGGAATAAATTGTAGTTTACAACTTTACAATTCTGTGCTGCTGGAATAAATTTTAGTTTACAACTTTACAATTCTGTGCTGAAATAAATTGTAGTTTACAACTTTACAATTCTGTGCTGTTGGAATAAATTGTAGTATACATATCAGTTGGTATATGCCTATATGGAATCATGCAGTCCATATATGCATATATATTACATCTCATATAGTTGATAAATCTCATATAGAATAATAGAATTTATCATGCAGTGTCCATATATGCCTTTGATTCTTTGAAGCTCTGTAATTTTTTTTTTTTTGTCAGAGTTGTTGTAGACACTGATTACATGATGCTAATCATGTTATTATTTTGTTATCTTGAATTTGATTGTAGTTTGTACTTTAAAATATGCCTAGTGATGGTTCAAGAAAGGATCCGGCATGGAATTACTCACATTTGGAGAATCCGAAAGATACAAATGCCGTCACTTGTAACTTTTGTACAAAAGTTACAAAAGGAGGTATTTATCGGGCTAAGCAACACTTAGCTGGAGGGTATAGAAATGTGAGTGCATGCACAAGATGCCCATCTAGTGTTAGAGAAGAAATCAAAGAGTACATGAGTAAGAAAAAGGAAAAAAAAGAGCAAATGAATTTGTTACCTAGTGATGAAATTAATTTCCTTGATGGAGAGGATGAGGATGACGTTATGGAAGTTAACAATCGGGGAAAAAGGGTAGCTAGTGCAGGTAGTGGCAGTGCTAGTGTCAATTCCTCAAAGATGCAAAAGCAAAAGGGACCGATTGATTTATATTTCACTCCCAGACCGGAAATTGTGGTACAAAAAAGAAAGGAGGGGGGAAAACAGACAATCATTAATGATGCATGCAAGAAAGAGTTGAGAGGAAGAGCGTGTGCTGCTTTTGCAAGGTGGATGTATGACGCAAGAATTGCATTCAATGCTGTTAAGTATGATAGCTTTGCCGAGGTTGTTGAAGCAATTGGACAATATGGTCCTGGCATGAAACCACTTAGTTATCATGAGGTGAGAGTTCCTTTGCTTAGGAAGGAATTGGATAATACCAATGCTTTGATGAATGACCATAGAGAGGAGTGGTCAAAATTTGGATACTCATTAATGGCAGATGGGTGGACAGACAAGAGAGGGAGAACATTGCTTAATTTCCTAGTAAATAGTTCAAGGGGAACCATGTTTATTGAATCGATAGATACTTCTTCTTTTTCAAAGGATGGTGCAAAGATGTTTGACTTACTTAATAAATTTGTGAACCACATTGGAGTAGTAAATGTCGTCCAAGTCGTCACAGATAGTGAATCAAGCAATAAGTCTGCCGGTAAGAATGTTCAATGTTTATAACTTTTAGAGTATGTAAATTCTTTACAAATATATAATTTAAATCTTTTTTGATTTACTCATTCTCTTTATATCATTTTTTCTTTTTTCCGTTTGGTTTCAAATAGGGAGGATGTTAGAGAAAGAACACCCATATTTGTATTGGACACCATGTGCTGCTCATTGTTAGACTTGATGTTGGAAGACATTGGGAAAGTACCGTCCATCTCTAGAACAATGCAGAGGGCAGTGGAGTTGAATAGTTATATCTATATGCGTCCAAAGTTGTTGAACATTATAAGGAACTTTACTCATAAAAAGGAGTTGCTACGGCCCGCTAAGACTCGATTTGCTACATGTTTCATCACATTATCAAGTATTCACAAGCAAAAGAATAACTTGAGAAAGATGTTTACTTCAGAAGAATGGAATCGTAGTAAATGGGCGAAAGAGGAAGCCGGTAAAAGAGTTGCTTCTTATGTTTTGATGCCTTCCTTTTGGAACAACATTGTCTTTAGCCTTAAGGATTCCGGTCCTCTTATTCCAGTTTTGAGATTAGTTGATGGCGAGAAAAAGCCTCCCATGGGATTCATTTATGCGGCTATGGATAGGGCTAAAGAAGCCATTGCAAAATCATTTGGGGAAGTAGAAGACAAATACAAGGATATCTTTGAAATAATTGATAAGAGGTGGAATGTTCAACTTCATCGCCCTTTGCATGCAGCAGGTTATTATTTGAACCCAGAATACTTTTATTCAAATCCGAAAATTGAAGAAGATGAAGAGATTGCAAAGGGTTTGTATGCATGCATTGCAAGGTTAATCCCGGATATCAAAGACCAAGACAAAATTACTGAGGAGCTGTCCTTATATTCTAAAGCTGAGGGCCTCTTTGGTAATCCCTTTGCTATTAGACAGAGAAATACACGAGGACCAGGTAAATTGGTAAAGTATATTAAGTTAGTATAGCTAAGTGTTAAAATTATTTTGACAATAGAGTCGATAGAAAGATGAAGCTAAAGTTGCTAAACATCATTATTAATTTTTTTTAATAGCTAATTGGTGGGAAGCTTATGGCAAGTCAACAAAACTTCTCCAAAAGTTTGCTATAAAGGTTTTAAGCTTTACTTGCAGTTCTTCTGGTTGTAAACGATATTGGAGCGTGTTTAACCATGTAAGTATATACTATCTACTAACTAGGTTTGTAATTTAATTGTTGAAAGTTAAAATTTTAATTTTTTATACTTACTAGTTAAAGTTGAATTTATTGCAGCTTCATAACAAGAAAAGAAATAGGCTCGCTCAAACAACTTTGAATGATTTAGTGTTCATCAAATATAATAGAGCATTGAGGCGTCGATATAATATGCGTGACAGTCTTGATCCCATTTTACTCGATGACATTGATGAGAGCAACGAGTGGTTGACGGGGAGGATGGATGATTCTGATGTAGAACATGATCTAGTCTATGAAGATGATTCCTTGACATGGGGTGATGTTGCTAATTTTGCTGTTATTGGAGAGGCTAGCAGGCCGCAACGGTCTACTAGATCAAAATCTAGTTCTAGTTCACGGTTACCAACAAAGGGAGCAGGAAGTTCTTCAGTTCGACTTGTGGATGAGGATGAGGATGATTCAGATGAGATAGAAGAGGATCCTGAGAATTATGAATCATTTAGTGACGATCAAAATGATGTTATGCTTATTGATGACGAGGATGATATTTAGATTCATTGGTGTTGTCTTCTTAGGAAGAAATAATGTTTATGTTTGTTTTAGTTTAATCTTATACTTCTCCTTAGTTGACTTTTGCATCTTTATGTTAATATGTTTGATTATTCACTGTTTTGAACTCAAGTACTTGATTTACTTGGTTTTGGCATCTTTATGTTGAATATTTAACTTAAGTAATTCATTTAGTTGATTTTTACATTTTTATATATACTATTGCATCTTTAATATTTTATTGGGTGGGTTTTTTTTTTTTTTTTTTCCAACGTGCGCCTTGCTTCAGTCGGGCGCGCGCCTCGCCTTGTGCCTCAGGCTCCAGGAGGCATTTGCGCTTTTGTGCGCCTTGAGCCTTTAACAACTATAGTAGGGTTAGTTCTTTCCCCATTCCTTATTTGGGTTTAAACCTAGGGGTTTCTTCCAGGAGAGTGGGGAGTTGGGACCTGTGATTGATAGGTATGCGAAGAAATTGGCAGGATGGAAGAAGCAATACTTGTTTAAGGGGGGTAAAGTTACTCTTATTAAGAGCAATTTATCGAGCCTTCCCACATATTTTTTATCTATGTTCCAAATTCCATGCTCCGTTGCTGATAGGATGGAAAAAATTCAAAGGAATTTCCTTTGGGGCGGAAGGGGCGAAGAGTTCAAGTATCACCTTGTCAGATTGGAGTAAGTTTGCAAGCCGATGAAGTTGGGTGGTCTTGGTATTAGAAGGTTGGTTCCTTTTAATCAAGCTCTTTTGGGTAAATGGTTATGGAGATACGGGAGAGAAAGACATCGTCCTTGGCGAAGGTTAGTTTCATGTCGGTATAGAGGAGAGAGTGGTGGCTGGTCTATTGGTCCGGATCATCTTGCGGGAGGGGTTGGGGTGTGGAAATCCATTCGGAAGGGATGAGATGTCTTCTCTACTCATATCAGGTTCAAAGTTCGTGATGGCAAATGCGTTCGTTTCTGGGAGGATCTTTGGTGTGGTGACCAACCATTATCTCGTACTTTTCCCAAATTATATATTATTGGAGTTGATAGACACGCCTACGTAGCTGACTGTTATCGGCTTGATAATAGTGGGATTACGTGGGATGTGCGCTTTAGGCATTCCTTTCAGGATTGGGAGCTGGATGAGGTGTGTGTTCTTCTGGATATGCTGTATAGGCAGGAGGCAGTTGGCAGTTGGCAGAGGTAGTGACAATCTAATATTGATTCCCTTTTCCCATGGTCGTTTCGAAGTGAGATCTTTGTTCTTATGTCTATCTAATTTTGTTGGTCTTGACTTCCCCTGGAAGACCATTTGGCGTTCTATGGCTCCAACTAGGGTGACATTCTTTGTTTGGACTGCTGTATGGGGTAAGATACTGACGATTGATAATTTGAGGAAGCGGGGTAACTGTTTTGTTAATTGGTGTTGTCTATGCAAGCAAGACGGTGAGTCAATTGATCATATCCTCATGCATTGTCCTATGGCGTACGATTGCTGGAATCTTATTCTTGGGTTGTTTGGTATGCTTTGGGTAATGCCACGTTCTTCTAAGGATTTGATTCAAGCTTGGAGAGGATGTCGTGTGAGTAAAGGTGTACGCGATTATTGGAGAATTGTCCCACATTGCGTTTGTGGTACATTTGGAAGTAGAGAAATAGCAGAATGTTTGAAGGAAAGGAGTCTTCCATGGCGACGCTAAAACTCCATATTATTCGTTCTCTTTTTAGTTATGTGAAGAGGAGCTCTTGTTCCTCTTCAGATGATTTAATTATTTTTTTAGATTCTTTGGGGCCTTAGTCCCCGGTTCCATTTCTGTATAAGGGACGCGTTCCCCTTTTGAACGCCTTTTTATTTCATTATTACTTATCAAAAAAAAAATTTGGCCTATTTTTAGCCATGCGTAATTTTTTAAGTGGTAGCCTAAATGGTTAACAAACACTCTTATTTTTTAAAATTCGTGATGGTGTTCAGTGTTAAGCGTTGAACAACGGTATCAATCATGGCCTTAGACTCTTAATATCTTTAATGTTAATAGATTTTGCTAGAATGTTGATCATGTTGGTTGTTTAGCCTTATTCTACTAATGTTGAAGATAGTAGAGTTATTTTTCTAATAGTTTTATAGAATCTTATGGTCATAGCGTCCCCATCCTGACAACCTTGACTAAAATGCACCTTGTTAAAGGAATAGTGTTTCTAAATTTGGTTGAGGGTAAAAATAGTGTTTTTTGAAATTGAAAGCTATTAGAAGGTGAAAATAGTTGACGGTTTTTGAGAATTTGAACAATTGAAGTTTTTTCAATTCAAAAGAGGAAATAGTAAGGATTTGTGAAATCATCATTTTGGCTTTTAAATTTGGGAAAATTGGAAGTAGTTTGGGAATCTGGAACAACAACAAAGTCTTTTCCCTACTATTTGGGATTGGTTTGTGAATCCTATTTTTCCATTCTGCTATATCTAAGGTTATAGCCTTAGTCAGGTCACATGTTATCATATCTTTCCTGATTAACTCTAGCCATGATAGTTTTGGTCTTTCGTTCCCCTAGCATTACTCTCAACACAAACCATTTCATTCTTCCCAACTGGTTTACTTAGTGACCTTCTTTGCACTAGTCCAAACCATCTATCGATATTCTATAATTTCATCTCCAATGGGTGCTACTTCAATCATCTCAAACGTGTTCACGTACCAACCCATACTTGAATTAATACTATTGTAATTTATTATTAAATTGTGGTGAGTCAAGATATTTAATTTTTATTTATTTTTAAATACAACTATAGGTTTAATTGGGCACCCTACCACATGATTAATATGTCCTTTCCTCTGTGGAAGTATTATGAAATAGAATTATTTTTAAATAGCAATTTGACAGAGCTAAAGGATTAGATTCGTAAGGGATGTAAGTGCAAACAAATTTTCTAGATCCTTGAAGCGTTGAGTTGTTGATCGAAACTTAAGGCTACCGACCTATAAGAATATTATGTCAAAGCTTGGGTATTAGATCTATTGGTGAATTTAGGTATACTGGATCATAAGTAGTTGTCTTATTTGGAGTTTAGTTTATAGCAGAGTTCTATTTCAAATACCAAAGCACTAGTATAGTATAGGGCAATTGGATGATTTTATAAAATTCAAGAGATAACCTATATGTTCTATTGATTTGAAAGAGAAACTTCTTAGATTTCGATAGTCGGTTTAGTTGCATGGCTCCTAGGGAACATGTTAAATAACAAATGGATGAACCTTTAATAGAGATTGATGCACTTCATGGGTTACCCACTTCTATTTTGTGGCCAAATAGAAATGTCAAGTGTGGAAGCTATTTTTTGGAGGATACTTTGTAAAACTTCAGGGATGAATTTGAGATTCTCTTATGCGTTTCATCCTCAAATTAATGAGAAAACTATGATTTTTAAGCAATGTCTAGAGTAATTAATCAGGTGTCGTGTAGGAAAAAAGCGCTTGGATATTGGAGATTATTGTTACTTGTTATGGAGTATACTTATAATAATTTGGTCAATTGGATAACTTGTAATTGTTCTTTCTAGAATATCTATGATGTTTCTGCTCAGCAACCTATTGACTTTATTCCTTTACCTCCATATTTTTATTCATTTGAATTTCCTGATTCCTTTGTTCAACTTGTCCATGACTTTCATGTCAAAATGTCACAAGAAATTGCTTTAACTAATTGAAATTATAAACTTGTTACACATACTCATAATAGGAATCAAGAATGAAATGAAGGATATTATATTATAATTTGTGTACGCCCAGAAATTTATCTTGAGAACTCTTTCCAATAGTTGAATACTGAAACTGCTGGATTTTAACTCAATTACCATGAATAAGGACCTAATGCATATTCATTTGACATGCCATTAGATATAAGTATTACTCTGACTTTGGAATATTTGCTTCTTTACCAAGGCACCTTCGAGCCTCCTATTTTGTCAGCATCAGTTCCTACTACACTTCAAGTGCACTACCAAATTGATGATATTCTTGGGCATCAAAGTAATATTACTCATCTTGGAAATATTTATCACTATCTTGTTCAATGGAAAGGTCATCCAAATTTAAATGCAATGTCGAGTAAAGATGATGAGTACTGATAAAGCAGTATCACCTGCTTTAGCCCTCCGGAGGAGAGTTCTTCTCGGTTCAGGGAGATTGATGGAGATCGAGGATGGATTGTGCACCTACTTTAGGCATTGTTGAAAGAGGGAGAGAGAGAGAGAGAGTACATGAAAACGTATACGTTATTGAGTAAGTAATACAATAATACAATGGTGTTTATATAGGAGAAGTTACGGGAGTAGGTGAGTGGAGTACAAGTAAACCCTACACATGGTAATTCTATATATGCTAATAAGGGGTAGGTGACAACTCATACAATACTAACTGTACACGTGTGACAACTCATACAATACCTTACAATGTGACAACTCATGCAATACTGTACAGCACTCCCCCTCAAGCTGGAGAGTAAATGTCAATAACTCCCAGC